TCTAGTAAAATTTTCTAAGAAACCAAATTTAAATTTATTACCCGAAGACATTCTTTGTAATTAAGTCTTAATATTTTTATCATTTCACAGTGACCGTGGTTAAAGTTTTCCTCCCATTCTGTCTTTTATAATGAATTTTAAATAATACTTTTATGAATGTACATTCTTTCCGTGCTTTCTGTTTGTACAAAGGCTAATGATTTACCAAGTTTCAATACAGAGGGGTAACTTTGGGTTATTTTGGCTCTTGTATCTTTACGTTTATTTTTGCTTCAGTTTTCTTGCACATTTCTATTAAAATTTTTCAAGATACTTATTACTACCATCCCTTCCACCTTCTCTCATCCACTCACTCCTACCCTCCAGGATTTTCCTACTAGTTTATCACTTCTTTATTGTCTTAAGGCAGATTATCAAAATAACAGTTGATCAGTGTTGGGAATTTGGCTAACACATTTTACTGAATGAACGTAAGAGACAGATAACTAACACTTCCTTACCTTAGAAGAATGTTCACCTGATCAATTACTTGTTCTTTTTGTAATTTCCTGATGTCAATGTACTTGTACTTTACTTCTTAAAGAAGCCTTTTGAAGTATATTTAACCAAATTCTGAGTGCCTTAGGGTTTGCAGGAGGCTCTCAGTTGGAGTATGGAATGTGTGGCTGGAAGTGGTTGATCAGAAATTGATGAGGAAGCTGGATAGCTTCTTAGCTGTTCTTAAACTAGCATTTCTAATGTGTGGGGGGGATTGTCCACACCTTTGATCTCCCCATTGCTAACCTTGATCTCCAGGAATTTTCGGTAGGAATGTTACATAATTGTTACTGCATAGAAACCTCATTTTGAAGTAGACATGATATCAAAGTTTAGGATTTACAATTGAAAGAAATCTTAATTCTTGTCTAGTCCAACACACATTTTACAAAAGAAAACTCAGAGCTAGGGATTTTCAAAACAGGCAGTGAATTTCAAAATTAGGGTAAAATCCCAGCTATCTTGATTTTGCCCATTATTGTATATGGTCTATGAAAGAAAATTTGAGAAGTTGTTTTTTCTAATGCAGAATGATTTTTTACTTTCAAATACCTTGTGGACTTTAAAATGATTCACTTATCTATAGCAGTGTGGCATAAAGTGAGGTTGACCTGATTGTTAATGGTTATTGTTAACAACAGTGTAAAAATCAGCTTACTATTTGTCATCTCCTCTCTGTCCTTCTCATAACCGTTTACCTAGGCAGAGCAGGTGGTAGTCGGATCTGAAATGAGGGAGGTACAGCCGGAGTCTGGACTCAGGGCTACTCATCCTTCCTTTCTCTACCGGCACTGTGGCGTAGCTAGTTTATTTGGACATTGACGTGTACTACAAAGATGTTTTATGTATGTGGGTTTCGGATCGAGGGGGAAAACATTTTCTCATCTCTTGCACTTCTGAACAGTGTTCCTTGCAGATTTGCAAAGGTACCAGGGCCTGAAAAAGGCTGGGAGACCTGTCCTTTTTGCTTGTCAGTTTAATAGGCCATTCAGGTGTTCCTTTGACAGAACAGGAGTTATAAATACTGTTTTTCCTTTTCTGTTAGATTGCTCAGATTCCATTCTGTGGGGAAATTGACTGCGAAGACTGGATCAAAAAGACCACTGCTAGGTAAATATGGTTAACAGAACTGTGACAGTAACAAAGAATGGGAATATACAGCATAAGTAAATGGAATTCTTACTTGTTTTTAACTGCAGGGATCAAGATCTTGAGCCCGGAGCTCCATCCATGGGAGCTAAAAGCCTTTGCGTCCCCTTCAAACCCCTCTGTGAGCTGCAGCCCGGAGCCAGATGCGTCTGCGGCAGGAACGCCGCCAAGTACTATACCTTGTTTGGCCGCAGTTACTAAGGGATAAAACAAAACTGCTCTCTCCAATCCTCCTCACTTTTTAAAAAATTGATATTAATATCTTCCCAGATATAGACAGTTTTATGATTTTTTAAAATAAAAGTTCTAATAGGTTACATGAGGCACAAACACCTTATTCTTATGTCTAAATTAACAGTGGGTAAGAAGACTTTTCTGTAAACAACCCCAGTAATAAACACCATGAACTGATACTGTCTTATGTATTCATTTGTTTCTGAGATACCTGAAGCATGTGCTACGGGCCATTCTTACAGAGAGCTGGAGAGAACTGGACCCTTAGGTAACTGCTCTTGGTCTGAGCGTCCCTCACAGTTCAGACCGCGAACGAGCAATTACCCCGTTTCCTGTATGTTGAGGTACTTCCCTTCCTTAACTCCCTCTGCCGAATCTAAAATTGTCCTAAATCTTTCTGTTTAAAAAAACAAAACAAAGCCACAAATAGACAAAAAAACCAAAACAAGCCCAACTTTCCCTTGAGCTTCTCTCTCCCTCTCATTACTACTAGTTACTGTGGGGTCTTGATTTCTGAAGGAGCGAGCAACCACCCCTCACTTCCACTTCTTTTCCTTTTTGCATTTTTCTGTCCCCGTCCCACCTGTGCCCCCGCACTATCGCCATTTCCCTCAGATACTCCTGCCTTCTGACCAAAGCTAACTTCTCAGTGTCTTGTCTTACCGTACCACTCTGCTCAGCTGCTGTAGAACATTTCCCTCTTCACTAAAATTACTCCTATGACTTGCCCTCCCACTCTCTGGTTCTTTCTCTTAGTAACAGGTCTTTCACCGGTGTTCTTCCTCAGCCTGCTCCCTAAACATCCCTAGGCCACGCTTCCTTCCATACTTGGTGCTCTCCTCGTCTGATCCCCTGGTTTCAGAGAACACGAACATTTTCACCTCTAGACCTCCAGTCCAGCTGCATACTCGGGTCTCTCGAGCTTTCCGTCAGAGTTTCAGGTCCTCTGTCCCCAAGCCCCCACTTCACTGCCCACTCCCAGACATGTTCTTCCTACAGTATTTCCTGCCTGAAGGATTAGCATGAGCTAAATCCACCAGTAACGTAAACCAGAACCCGAGAGCCATGCTAGTCAGCCCTCCAGCGCACGGTCTGCTGTCTTCATTTCCCAGCACGACATCCCGACATCCTGCCCTTACGCTGACGTGTCCCAGGTTTCCCTTTCACAGATGCTTTGACTGCCTCTGACTGTCATGGCCTCCAGAGTTTCACCTCAGGCAGTCCCCACATTTCCATAGGGGTTTTTTCCTTAATGTACAATGTGTTAAGATGTTCATCTTCCCCATAAAATCTTTTCATGGCTCACCATCGCTAGCAGGGGAAAATGTGAACACTTTAGCCTAGTCTGGCTCAGCCTACCTGTCCAGTCTCCTCTTCAACCAATCCAGCAAAGTCCTTTGCACCCTAACCATTTGGGGTTTCTTACGAAATTTCCCATGAGCCATTTCCCATCTCTCTGTCCCTTTGCCTGGAATGTCCTTTACTCATATCTAGTCTACTGGCTAAATCTCTTTATTTGGGGCTGTGTCCTAACACGCTTTCCCACTTGGTAGTGATAAATACATACCAATAAGGGACAGAGCTTCAAAAAGGACTTGAATTTTGAGTCATGCTTTGCAGGATAAGTGGAATTTTAATAAATAGAAAAAGAAGGACATTCCAGGCAGAGGGAACAGCATATGCAAAACCATGAAAGTATATGCTGTGTGTGAGAACACAGCAAAACTGTTAAATTGGTAGGAAATTGTCAAAGCAGATTAAATACAACATGCCATCAAGACTGACGTTTTGAGTATATATATTCATATACCTAATTTAAAGAGATAAATACATGAGCCACATTTCTGTACCCAATTTCTTATTGAACTGTGGCAGTTCAGAATGCTTTATCTTGTCTTTCTACCCTTAGTAGCTGTGTAAAGTGCCTATTCAGTTGTAAAATGGAGAGAAGTCTAATACCTATACTGTAGTTACTCTCCCTTATAAAGTACTTAGAACAATGCCTGACACATACTAAATAAATAATACCTAATGTTATGACCAGGCAGAGTCAACTGTAAGTTGCTCCTAATTTGTAGCTTTAATTAAAATACTTACTTTGGCTTCTATTTTTTTTTTTTTCTGCAAGCATAAATGCTCTAAAGGACAAGGTTTTTTTAGTGGGTCCATGACAAAAGGTTGAAAAGTAGATCAGAGACTAATAACCACATTTTGTCCCATAGCCCCTGGCCATTTTGGAGGAGGTGGCAATCATTGGTGCAAAGACAAATCCCCAGGCTATTTTTCGAAGTTTCAGATGAGTAGAACTAATTACAGAAAAGCTTGAAGTTTGCCGCTTTCAAGGTATTCATTATTTTTTTTTTTTAAGGTTATGTAATTCCTTTTTTTTTTAATTTTTATTTTTATTATGTTGTTAGCCACCATACAGTACATCATTAGTTTTCGATACAGTGTTCAGTGATTCATTAGTTGCGTGTAACACCCAGTGCTCATTACAACACGTGTCCTCCTTAATACCCGTCACCTGGCTACCCCATCCCCCCACCCCTCTCCCCTCTGAAACCCTCAGTTTGTTTCCCCGAATCCATAGTCTCTCATGGTTTGTCTCCCTTTCTGATTTCTCCCCCTTCAGTTTTCCCTCCGTTCCCCTAATGTCCTCCGTGCTATTCCTTATGTTCCACATATGAGTGAAACCGTGTAATTGTCTTTCTCTGCTTGACTTATTTCACTTGGCATAATCCCCTGCAGTTCCATCCATGTTGATGCAAATAGTGGGTATTCATCCTTTCTGATAGCTGAGTAATATTCCATTGTATGTATGCACCACATTTTCTTTATCCATTTGTCTGTTGCAGGGCATCTCGGCTCCTTCCACAGTTTGGCTATTGTGGACATTGCTGCTATGAACATTGGGGTGCATGTGCCCCTTCTTTTCACTACATCTGTATCTTTGGGGTAAATACCCAGTAGTGCAATTGCTGGGTCGTAGGGTAGCTCTATTTTTAACGTCTTGAGGAACCTCCATACTGTTTTCCAGGATGGCTGCACCAGCTTGCATTCCCACCAACAGTGTAGGAGGGTTCCCCTTTCTCCGCATCCTCACCAACATCTGTCGTTTCCTGACTTGTTAATTTTTAAAGATATTCACTACTTAAAGGAACTCTCCAGTAAGTAATTATGTTAAGGAAGGAATCCTTCACCCCAAATCTGCTCGTGAAAAATTGCTTTCTTTCTTAAATTGAGGTTCAGCTAAAATACCAAAACTTTTTCAAACATCTTAAGAGTGGTGCTGCTTTTCAAGAGGGTGCATAAACCTGAATCCAAAAGAATCCAAAAGATATCCTTTAAGAAATGATCAGTATTTTACATGCAGATGACGGCCATTAACTAGATATATGACCGACAGTCACAGAAGTGATTGTGAGCCTCGTGTTTGTTGCTGCAAAAAGAAAATACACAGGTCAAGGGATATTTACTGCCGGCTCTGCTCACTGGGACTACTAGTGTGTATTACCTGTTAGCCATTTCTAGGTTCATCCGTGACTGTTTAAAATAGTTCTTAATTATGCAGATAAATCATAGGAAGCCTTTATTAGAATCAGTAACAGCACCTCATCCGGCCTGCTGCTGCAAGAGGCTGTGAGGCTTGAGATCAGCACAGACCACTCCACAGAGCGAGCAGAGAAGGCATCTTGGCTAGAGAGTCTGCACATAGCACCCGACTTTATGCCTGATTGTGGCTATAAATACTAAGTCATCTGTCACAAAACTCCGGTTTTTAGGGGTTGTCAGCGTCTGAAGTCTAGGGAGACAGTTGCCGCTACCCTGTTCTTTTCAAACCTATCTCTGGCCCTTTGCTTGTCACTTTCACTGTGTCTAGAAAATGCTAGCCATTTATTTAATAAATTAGAGTGCCTGCTCCGTGCAAAGTGCCAGAGCATTTGGTAGTGACTAAACATGATTTTTCCTCCTCATGGCTTTATCTCCTTGATGTGTCTATTTTAGCTGCAAAATCAAGCAGTCGAGTGGACAGGGTGGTGGAGCAATGACCTGGGCTGAGCATTGTTAGGAGGAGGCGTAGCCTCGGTGAGGTGATCCCTGCCAACAGCAGCACGCTGACAGCTATCCTGTGCTCGCGATCATAATAGCTGGAAAACTAAATCAACCCCATTCTGCCACACCGCCAGGCTTAAAATTACAGATACAAACACATTTCCATGACTCAGTGTCTTTGTTCAACTTTACTGGAGGATTTAAGAGTTTGGAACGTCAGTAGTACTGAAATGATATAAAAATGTTAAAAAATAGCAACAAAAAATGTTTTATTAATTAAGTCTCGTGTAATAGGGATATTTCAAAATATATTTTAGGTATGTTACCAAAACCAAATTTTGGCACTCACTGGGCGGCTCAGTCGGTTAAGTGTTGACTCTCGGTTTTGGCACAGGTCATGATCGAGCCCCACATCGGGCCCCGTGCCCAGTGCGGAGTCTGTTTCAGATTCTTTCTCCCTACCCCTCTGCCCCACCTCGCGCTCACTCTCAAATAAATAAAATATTTTAAAAAATAACCCTTTCTTGATTCCATATCCCTTTAGCCTTAAAGTAAAGCTTTTGTCTACTTGCCAGCTCTGATTTGTCTTGTCCGTTCTCTTGAACCCACGTCATTTGCCCTCTTGCTAAGGTCACCAGTGGCCTCCACAGCGGTAAACAGCCATCGTTTGCACTCCTCCTTTTGCTTGCTCTTGGCATTTGCCTGGCTGATTCCCCCTCCTCTTTGAAACACATTCTTCCTTGGCCTTCAGAATACAGCATGCTCCTATTTTCCCTTCTGTGTCTCTGGTCCTTCTCTCTCATCTCTTCGTATTTTCTTCTCTTCCCAATTTTCTCTCGTTTCCTTGCTGACCTCCTGCTTGTCAGCATTCAAGTTCGTATATTCCCAGCCTATCCATCTCCCCTGAACTCCAAACTCAACACCCTACTTAGCATTTCAACCTGGCTGTCTAACAGATACGCCAAACAAGGGCATTTCCACCCCTTGCTCCCACCCTGACCCTACAGCGGCCATCTTTGTCTTACCTTCATTTCAGTTGTAACATCAGGCCCAATCTCTAATGTCACCTTGACTGTTCCCTTCATACCTCACCTCCAATTGCCCAGCAAATGCTATTGACTCTAACCACAAAACATGTTTGGATACACTCATGGGTGGGTGTGCGCCTGTAGAAGCACCCAGGGCCCTGTGTTTGGTTGAATGCTCCACGGTTGCGATCTTGGAATTCTTTTTTTTTTTTTTAAATAAGATTTTATTTATTTGAGAGCAGGGAGAAGAACAGAGGGAGAGGGAGAAGCCGACTCCATGCTGAGCGCAGAGCCCGATGTGGGGCTCCATCTCACAATCCTGAGATCATGACCTGAGCCAAAATCAAGAGTCAGAGTCTTAGCCAACTTGGCCACCCAGACGCCCTTGTCTTGCAATTCTTAATAATGAAAAAAAAAAAATCTGTAATTGTGATGGGATGACAAAATTTATCATCCTAACCATTTTTAAGTGTATGCTTAAGTATTAAGTATATTTGCATTTTTGGGTAACCAATTAGCAGAACTTTTTCATCTTGCCAAATTGAAGCTATACTCATTAAACAATGTCCCCTTCCCCTCAGCCCCCTGCAACTACCATTCTAACTTTCTGCTTCTATGAATTTGACTACTTTAGATAAATAGTTCATGTAAGTGGAATCATACAATACCCCGCGTGATTGTCCCCCTCCCACCATCGCCCTCTCAGACCTCATAGCCTGTCTTTCTCCCTCAGTCACTCCTCTCCAACCAGCCTGAGCAACTTAGCTGCTCCTTTAACTTCCCATGCTCACTGCTTCCTCTGCCCAGAAAGAACTTCTTTCAGGCGTCTCCGGGGCTCAGTTTCTTACCTCCTTCAGATCTGTACTCAGGGACATGTCAGTCAATTCTTCCCTGACCACTTTATTTAAAATAACACCCCCACTCCTATGTCAACACTGTACCCCTCTTCTCTGCTTCATTCGTGTCCATAATTCTTATTACCATTGGACATTCAATACATTCATGAATAATTTGTTAATTCTCTCTCTCCCCCACTAGAATGTAAGCTTCATGAGGGCAGATTTTTCTCTCTTTTATTCACTGCTGTCTCCTCAGAGTCTAGGACCATGTCTGACATGTAGGAACTTAGTATTTGTTGCATGGATGGATGAGTGGGATAGTCTGAGTGCAGTGATTTGCACCATCTGGTTGTATTAGAAGTCTCACTTTACAACATCAGCTGAATGGGAGATCATTTCTGAGATGCTGAGGAAATTATAAGGGCTGCATGGAAATTGTCAGGTTTTAGTTAAAGGTAGTATATTAGGGTTCTCCAGATGAATAAAACCAATAGGATGTGTATATAAACAGAAATATTTATTATAAGGAATTGGCTCATGTGATAATGGAGGCTGAGAAGTCCCAAGATCTGCAAGGTGAGTCAGCAAGCCCGAGAACCGGGAGAGTCAATGGTGTCGTTCTCGTCCAAAAGACCACAAGCTGGCGACCCAGGAAGAACTGATGTTTTGGTGTAAGCCTGAAGGCAGGAGAAAGCCAGTGCCCTAGCTTGGAGGCAGCCAACAGGAGCAATTCTTTCTTACTCACAGGAGGGTCAGCCATTTTGCTCTGTTTGGGCCTTCAACAGAAAGGATGAGGCTTATCCTCATCAGGGAGAGCAATCTGCTGTACCCAGTCTACCGCCTCAAATATCAGTCTCCTCCAAAAAACACCCTCACAGCAGCACTCAGAATGATGTTTGACCAAATGTCTTGAGCACCTGGTGGCCCAGTTACCTTGACACTTAAAATTAACCATCACAGTCAGACTTTAAATTCAGAAAAGATTGGGTATAGTAATTTCAGTCTGTATCTCTGCAAAGGATTGGCTGTAGGCAGTCTACTCAAAACAATAGAGGCCGCTACTGTTTTAGATATTCGGGACCTGGTAAATCTTTATGGTTTATAAGTGACAGATGATAAGATTAAAAACAAAAAAAATTTCCTTGCATCAGCTAAATCAACTTATTATAATTTGGCTTTCTTCCTGAAACTAACTGGAGTTACGTCGTTAACTCCTTCAGCTTAAAGGTGCTTTATCTTTTCTGAACATGAGGACTGTTTTTCTTGTCTTCTTTATGGAGAATGTTTGGAAGTAGGGTTCTTGTTTATTCCAGATCAACGAACAAGGCGGTAGAAAAATCACCCTAGCTTCATCTTTGGCTTTTACTTATTGTAGCTCTGATCAGTGGATTAGTGACCCCTAGAAATGTTCCCTGTTCCATGCACTTAACAGAATTCAAAATGTTTACCCACTGGGTAGACAAGACATGATGTTCACGTCAAATGGCTCATCTCACCAGAGTAGTTATTGTACACACCGAGACTGGAGAGGCCGAAGCCACGGATGGGCTTCTACATGATTCAAAGACACAGAGGCTCTTGGCTTTTGTAATGAAACACACAATAAACAAACAAACTCCCCTTGAGTCTGCATCTGAAGCTGGTGTCTTCAATTTCCATAAGTCCCAGCTCACGTGACATCTCTTGCTTAATTGCCCTTTAAACTGTTTTATAGCTTTATAGCAGCCTATAAAAGGTGATTTCCAAATATGACAAGCGCTGAAAGTCTGAAGGGGAGAGTTATCCAGGAGTCATAACAACTAAATCTGTAGCTTGCTCCCCTCACAGCTCAGCCTTCCCGGGAGAGGGCAAGGAACGGCCCAAGAGCTGGGCGCCATGGGGCGATACTCGGGAAGAAGCTTCCGATTAATCCTCATGTGCATCGTGAGCATCCTCCTCTTCGTGGTGGAGCTAGTGATCGCCCACATAGGCAACTCCCTCTCTTTGGCCTCCGATGCCTTCGCTGTCCTCTCCCACTTGGTGTCCATGATCATAGCTCTGCTTGGCGTGAGGGCCAGCAGCATAAAACAGCACAGGAAGAGCACTTTCGGGTTTCTCCGGGCAGATGTGGTGGGAGCATTGGGAAACTCCATTTTTGCCGTGGCTCTGATGTTCAGCATCCTGGTTGAAGCTGTCAAAAGGTATATTGATCCCCAGAAGACGGAGGAGCCCGTGCTGGTTCTCAGTGCTGGAATTATCGGGCTGTTCTTCAATGTCCTGAACTATGTCATCTTGGACTGTTGCTTCTGCTCGACACACAGGCCCCTGGGGGACGCCAGAACAGGTAAATAGTCCTCAGATGTGCTAGCAGATTTGGTGGGCCTCTCGTCCGTGACTTTCCAGGAGATCCTTCTCAAAGGAATTGCCTCCAGTCCACCGTTCCTTGTGAGCTGGTGGGGCAGCGGGCTGCTTTCACCTTGGGTGGGGGGTGGTCTTTTTTAAGTTTTAGTCACCAGGAATGAAAAGTGTTCAGAGAGGTAGAGAGGGAGTAAAGGTACTGAGCAGGTACAAAGGGAGCCATTTGAAAGGAAGTGGATATTGAAAACAGTCTCATTTAATTAGGGGCCAGATGCGACATGGCTGTGTTTGAATTTAAAAATAATATTTTAGTGTTCCCATAAAATACGTTCAAAAAAGTACTAACCTACCTAACCAGCTGATATCAAGCAAAGTGTCAAACAAGTGGCTAGGCTGATAAACTCTTAGGAATATATATTGGAAGAATTTATGTAAAACAGAGAAAAAATAAAGGAGATGATCTAGTGACCTTAGTTCTTTTTAAGATGGAACTATTTGTACTTATTCACTGTATGCATCCATCCTATTTGAGAAAAAGGAAAACTATTTACACGTGAACCTTTAGGTGGGACTTAAGGTGGGTACCAAGGTGGGTACTGGGTCATCTGTCAAAAGATGGAGTTAAATCTTGGATGAGAACAATAAATCTAAAGTAATAAATTCATAAGATAAATTAGGAGATGGAAACATGTTTCTTTATGGCCACAATAGGAATTAAATATATATAAAAAGCTTCTTGCAGAAGAGAGAAATTTCTAGCCCCATCACATGAACAGACCAGGTTCAAATCACGGCTCTACCACAGGGCAGCATTAGAGTTAGCTCACCTAGCCTGTCTGCCCACAGGTAATACGGAGGTAGGAAGGACTAAGTGAGATCCTGCATGTTCAGCACTTAACAGGCACTTGGTAAAGAGTAACTGTTGTTTTTTAAAAAACCAACATGCAAGACTTTGAATTATGTAATAATCCAGTAGCACTGAATTCTAATTGCTCATCCGGAGTCTAAGAAATTTCAAGATATTCCTTATTTGATGCTGATGAGTTTCCTCTCACTAGTAGGGGTGTTCTGCTACTAAGCCTGGGAGCCTTGGCTCTAAGGTTGCATTTTTCATTGTATTCCTCCTGTCTTTGCTACCAGTGTAAATTATGTCAGTTGAGTCCAGTCCCTGATCCAATCTCCGTCTACATTTTCCTGTTGGTAGAATGTATGTTATGAGAGCATCTATAGTATGTATTAACTATAAAAGGGAACAAAGAAGAAACTAGAACCTATATCTTTGTTTTAATGAATCCGTGAAAGCCTCATCTTTGAAAAAGACAGTAATGAATTAACTTGAGACCCTAAACCTTGTTTCCATCAGTCATCATGTAGAAATTATTACTTGAGATTCCAGATTATAAAATCCACATATTTGATATAAGACAACTGTTTATTTCTTATCGCTAAGTATAATTTCAAGGCAAGGAAGTGGATTTCTAGCAAATGATTAATGGACTGTTGCCATCACTGAACTTCCCATAATGTTTCAGGCATGATACACACCTGCATATAGCAAAGGAAATTTAGGTAAAGGGTTTGATTCTTTGACCAGTGTGAAAATTGATAGGCAACTATAATTTTATTTTTATAAATTGAATTATCAGATAGGTCTTAGTTCAGGTCTTGTTCGGGAAGTGGTGCTTTCCAATGTCTCTGTTCATGCTCAGATGACAAAAGAGGCTTAAGACAAATGTTTCACCCTGACCATATCAGTTTCTATTGCCTTAATTCCAGAATATCTACCTTCTTTTAAAGGGTCGGATGCTATATAGTTTGCTACTTTAACCAAGTGTAGTGTATGTTTGTACACATACAGCCAATAAGATCCATAATCTATGTTCACTTTATTTTGGTAGCTTTTGGTACTGCATTATTCTATTAGAAATTTCAGAATGTTTAAACCCTCCAAGTAATTTTAGCATCGCTACTTAGCTTCTATTACATTATATCTTGAGTTAGGATTCAGCACTTTTACTAAAACATACATTTTGATAACTTTCCCATCACTTAAATAAGTTTAAAGTAAGCTTTTGGATGAATCTCATACACTGACATTAACGTAATTTTAATTGTCTTCTGTTTCAAGAAGAAATGTGATTAACCCATACATATTAATTTATACCAGGAGGTATACAATATGAAAGAGAAAATGACTCTTGACTTTAGAAGATTTGACCTAATGGATAATTATTATATCCTAATTTATTAGGATAAAGAATTTCTATGGGTCTAGAACCCTAACTTGTAGCTCTGTGGTACCTCCTGGTTTAGTGATCAAAACCAAGATAACCCATCACTGTTTCTGTGGGATCTGTGGCCAGAGAGAGTGTTTACTTAGCAAGCCTTCAGTCTCTCCTGGTTCTGTGGATCTTTAACTCATTCTGCTTGATCTGTCTGATGTGGGAATTGACACCAGTTACATCTGATGTTTGACATTATAAGAAAGTAAAAAATAAGACCACTAACTTTAAATTAAATATGAACAGAATAGACTGTCTATACAGCTAAGTCTTAAAGCATCCCTGGGATTCATGGACTAAGAGAAATTGGAGAATCAGACAGATGGAGCCAGAAATTAAACAAACAAACAAACAAACAGAAGAAAAAAAACTCTGCGAGAAAGGAATGTGTAGAAGATTCAGCTGAGATGAAGGAGCCTGGAAGTTCTGGGTCAATCCCTGGCCGGCATGAGTCCAGCCCTAACATGAAAAATGATAGGGGAGGCAGGTTGTTTTGGCTAAAGTAAAAGGCAAAATGAAAAAAGTAAAAATCTCAAGCATGAAAGAAAAAACAAACAAGAGGGGAAGTCTGAAATGTGGATGGCTACGTGTGTGTTTGCAGAAATGGCAGGGTGTTAAAACAACATGTAGATTCTGATCCCAGGAGATATGTGACACCAAGGATTTTCTTTCTCTAAACTTAGGAACTAAATGTGCTTTGTTTATGTTTTTTTCCTACTCCTTGTTTACTTGATTTTCCTTGACTTTCACTTTGTCTTTTATGTCTGTATTTTATTTTTGGTTATTTCTCAGGATTGAGTTTTCTTTAAAATAAAATGAATAGAACTCTCTATGCCCTTGCCCAAAACTTGAACAGATAGATACCTTTATGTACATTGGCCTTTATTTTAAACCAGAGGCAATTTTGTGCAGTCCTTTCTGGGCTAGATTAGGCTTGCCATTTATATAATGTATAGGTGACAAATTTATATCTGAAATATCTGCTTTTTATTTTATTATATTATTTTATTTTTTTACAAAATGCCTTTCCTTTGAATTTACTTGAATTGTTTTTGAGTCCAAGTTGTGTTCATTTTCTCTCTCTCCTTTTCTCTCTTTCTCTCTCCCTCCCCCTCCTCCTTCCACCCTCCCTGTCCTTGTCCCCCTCTTTCTCACCACCTCTGTGGCATTATGTTTCTCCAACCAAATTGCTATAGGCAGTGAACACAGTAATCCACAAAATTCCCGGTTGCTGAAGGTTTTAACACAGTGCTAATTGGTTGCTCTCATCAGCTCCTGGTCTAAACTAGTCAGTAGTAGTTAGGACTCAGGACTCTAGCCTGATGGGAGCCTTTCACCTGGACAGTCCTGTAGACCCTGAAAGCAAATCTAGTTTCCTTTCCTTGTAGAGTAAATTCGATCCAGAGACTAGCAAAGTAAGCAAGCAAGGCTCTGAGAGTTTTAGGAGCGGCAAGAGGAAATCTGCTTCCTCTCTCCCAGTAGCAAATACCATGCAGTCACTAAGGGGGCAGAAACCGCCCAAACGAACATAGCTTTTCACACTAATCGTTCAGAGGCAGGATTGGAATGATGGGGAATTTGCAATAATTATTATATAATTTTAAGAATCATGCTTAATTCCCGAAGCTGGTACTTTGCCATTTGTCCATATCTGACACCGTTGTTTTCCAAGCACTCTCTCGGGTTTTGAACAATTAACTTCACATGAGGGTTCAGTGGTAAGTAAACACACGCCCGTCACAGCTCACAGTGTCTGTCCCACGGTAGGTTCCTCATGTACTCCCTCACATCTCTTTCCGTCTGCTCGCGGTGCCTTGGGGAGCCCCTGCCCCTTCTGGTTGCCCAGTGACAGGGCTCTGGGTCAGTTCTAGGGAGTGAATAAGAAAGATTAAATGAAGATTGAAACATAGGAGCTATTTCACATTTGTGAAGTCAAATTCAACTGAAGAAAAAAAAGAGGATAAACCAGCTCCTTGTTCTCAGCCATCTTCTTCTAACATACAGAGGCTGCTCTGACTGATATCTGGGTTAAATTTTAATGAAAACCAAGTGTTTATTGACATCTGTGGGATGTCAGGCACTTGGAAAGTGTACAGACAATAGTCCCAGCACAGTGGGCATACATTTGGAGAACTGTTTGTTTTATGAAAGAATTAAAATGTATTGCATTGAATTGGAGAATCGTGTGTATTATGAGACAATATTTGCTTATTTTCATTTACAGACAAGAAAACAGAGGCTGAGAGTCAGATCCGCAGTTACATAGGTAGTTCACGGTAGAGTTACAAAGAAATGACAAGGTTGAGTCTAGGCCCTTAAAGGCCCTATTCTGCTTCACCAAGAAAAGAAAAACCGTGGAAAATCGCTTGGCAATAATCACAAAATAGCATGTCAAAAAGTGCCAATGAATACACCATAAAGCGAATCCCAATTCCAGTAGCTTAGTGACCTCCAGAAAATTACTCCAACTTTCTAAACCTCAGTTCCTCCATCTGTAAAATGGGTAGGTAGGATCTATCTCATAAGGGTGTTGTGAGGATGAAATTACAGTGTGTGTGTGAACTGCTCAACGTAGCACCTGGTGGTGGTGGTTAGTAGTGATTGTCTAAGGGCTGAAGGGACAAAGAATGAATGAAATATGAGGAAGACCCCTCTGCAGACAAGTCCCTTGCTCTACTCCATACCCACGACTGGCAGCCCACCT